GGGATTTTTGTGTTTGAGTTTCGGTTTCTGAATTGTGAAACTGCATGCTAGAGCATTATTTTTACATGGTGGGGTTACTATGTTGTTTTAAAGTGAAACTTTATTTCTGTCCACTCACATCTTTCTGTTTTGCGCCCCCCAGACAGTAGTTGCTCCTGAAGGCATTCGAGCAAGTCACGAGCTCCGAACTTGTCGTCTGTTAATAGGGTCTGTATAAATTCTTTCTACTCCCCTGTTTGTTGTAAACAAATTCTGTAGACGCTCTGTTATTGCCCATGTTAGGCTACTACTTGAGGCCGGAGGCCATTTTGTGTTGGATTGTAGTTTGTAAAAGCATGCTGGCAGTTGGGTTGTACATTGATGTAAATTATTGCAGGTTGTTTATTGTTGGTTTGGGCATTTTACAGGGGAGACTCTGCCAAAATTTTTGGTAGGATGTCTGGGGTGTTAGTAAGTGGGCCCGGCATCAGTATGATGTCGGCACCAAGACGGGGTCCGCCCCGGTTTCGGGGGAAATTCCGGGGCGGGTCCTGTCAGTTTAAAAGTATTTCTTGTAATTAATATGTTCAATTAGGCACTTTGCTGAAGATGATGCATTTTCCTCCCGTTGCATCTCATGGAATACTTTTAACTTATTTACTTGTTACTCATAGTTTGCCAAGTTTCTTATCCATGTTATGATTGTTGTATACATGTAGGCATAGTGATTGATCGCTATGAATGGGCGATTGGTCGCTTTTCGGCAGAGAGTAATCTTGTGCTCCAGACTCGGGATGATCAATTATTTCTGTACATAGGAGAATTTCTTCGTTTTCCAAGTTGCTCCAATTCTGCTCTTCATTTCGTATCTCCCCCTGAAGCGTAGAATTGGATGATGGGTCATGGAAGAACAGCTCAGATTCCAGAAAGGTCACATCCAAAGTGACATAGGTACGTCGGGTAGGAGGGTGATAACAACGGTAGCATTTCTGATGAGTGGCATAACCCACAAAAACACAACGACGCGCACATGTTTTCAAGTTTGCTACATTGATTTTTGTGGAGATGAACGAAAGCCACACATCCAAAGATTCGGGGTGTGAGTACTAAAACAGAGGGCAGAGGTCTGTGTTGCGCAAGTACCTGTAAGAGAGTTTTAAAGGTCAATACACCAGAAGGCATGCGGTTGATTAGGTGAACTGCAGTGACAATAGCATCATCCCAGTGATGGCGAGGAACATGAGCGCCAATCAGAAGTGCTCGGGCGGTTTCAAGAAGATGTCGATTCTTTCTTTCAGCAACACCATTTTTGTTGCGGTGTCTGAGGACACGTCGTCTCATGGATAATTCCATGTTGTTGGAAGTAAGTCTGAAAGTCATGATTGACAAATTCTCCACCATTGTCGAAGCGAAGAATTTGGATTTGAGCATTAAACTGAGTTTTCATCTGTTTGTGGAATGACTGAAAACGGGAAAACACTTCGTTTTTATTCTTCAGCAAATAAAGTCATGTCATCCGTGTACAATCATCTATGAATGTGACAAACCATCTAACACCAGAGGGAGCAGTGATAGGTGAAGGTCCCCAGACATCAGAGTGAATTAACGTAAATGGAGTAGTACACTTGTTCGTACTCAACGGGTAGGGCACACGGTGACTCTTAGCCAAAATACAAGTATCACATGTGAAGTCGGAGTCCTTGAAACCTGAGAATAAATCTGGTATAAGATGCTTCATATAACTAAAAGACGGATGTCCCAATCGACGGTGCCACAACCAAATTTGCTTTTGTTTGCTATCAAAGGGATGCGTCACACTGTTAGCCATGCCAGGACTGAAGTCATCGACATAATATAGCCCCCCTCTCTTAGTACCACGACCAAGAATCTCCTTAGTGTGAATATCCTGAAGCAAACAAAAACTCGGGTAAATGAGTACACAACAATTCAATTGTTCAGTAAGCTGACTAACGGACAACAATTTAGTAGATAAAGATGGAACAAGTAAAGTATTAGACAGTGTGAGAGAGGATGAGAGTGCAACAGTGCCAGCCCCTGTCACAGGATAAGTAACGCCATTGGCATTTGCAATACAGGTTCGTCGAGGTTGTGTAGTATT